CCAACTTCTACCGCCACTTCATTGAACAATTTTCCCGTGTTGCATGGCCCCTCCACGACCTGACCAAGAAGGACTCCAGGTTCTACTGGATTCCCGAATGCCAATCCGCCTTTGACAACCTCAAAGTTTCCTTCACATCTGCACCTATCTTGAAAATTGCTTTTGAATATGTTGGTGTTTTGGCGCAGTCACTGTGCAGTATGCACAGTGACTGTGCATCAACGTGTCAGAATAATCAACCTAGTATTCCGCTCACATCCCTTATTAACCTCTTGTTGACTGTACCAGTCTTTCATATTCATTTTATCTCTGCTGTTCCAGCTCATCATAACTGTCACCTGTCTGTTCCAGTCAATTATCACCTGTCATCACTTATTGCTTGTAGTTCCTATAAGTAATGCTTGTACCAAGCATTTCCTCACCCATAAATTAGCCTCTATCTGAATCTTGTATTTAATCATCAGTAGTCTGCTGAATAGTAAAAAAATCATTAACTCTGAGTCCAATGAAACTTTTGCCACCGTCAGTTGCAATCCTTGGTCCAATCTGTGTCCCCATCAAGATTGTCCCCCTCTTCTCCACCTAAAGTTCTCGAATCAAAATTTTGAAACAAAGCTTGGTTGAATCACTGTTGGAGAAATTTAGGAGCAACAACAGAAGCTTCCAGGGAGTTACTGCATGTCAACTGCAGGCAGTTGAGCATGTTTTTTTTTTTTTTTTTTGAAATGACTACTGGTTACTCTAAAATATTATTAATCAGTCAATATAGTAGTTTTAAAATTATACACAACCCTTAATTACATTATAACTACCCTTTTATCCAAAATAACAATCCATATTTCATAAGCCTTGTTTCAAGCCCCATCCAGAACATAAGTGTTCAAAGGTCATTTGTCCTACTAGCACTGCCTGCACACAGGTTGGGTTTCCAAGGCACCCCCACCCCTGAAGTAACTGTGGACTGTGGCAAATTTACTGCAGAGATTTCCAGCTATTGCTTCAAAATCATTAATTCATTCCCTTACCTTGGTTGAGAAGCCAAATTTTATCTACTTCTTGAACAATTCCCAATACATTTCTTTCAATGATGAATTGCTGGTAGGCCTTTCCAAAGGGCTTGAATTGTAAATCACTAAATTTATTTCATTGTCATTTTTTTATCTGAAGGGATATTTTTATATCAAAAGGATTTTTATCAAATTAAATTATTATCTCATTAAATTCTTCTGATTTCTTTCTAAAATTATACAATAAATGATCAATTTTTGGGTTGAATTACAGCAGGGGGGGGGGATATTTCAATCCCTAGGGGTTTTTTATTTATTTTTATTTTTTATTTTTTGTGGTTTGATGAGAGAAGAAGAATCTGGAGGATATAGTGTGAGAAATGAGTGGATTGAGGTTGTGAAAAAGGGGGTTTGGATTAGTGCTGCAGAGGATGATTTGATAGTTGCCCCACATCAAGCGTCTGTGTGAGTGTCAGTGTGTGTGTGTGAGTGTGTGTGTGGAAACAGCAGCAGATAATGATAGGAAAGTGTTATACAGACAACTAAACAAGGACGAAGAACTATGAGCTGGCCACCCTCCATTTGTCTGCAGTCAAGCATAGCAACCACCAATCACTAACAATAGACCTCCAGTGCCACACCAGTCATTCCTCTGAACTGCTGTCTGTCAGACACATACTTTTCTTTTTTCCTTTCTGCTAGTTACATAGTGGATGTAGCCAGAGTGTATCTACTTTTGTTTTTCCAACAGATAGCTCATCAACTGTCTGTTAGATGTTATCCACACCTAAAACAGTGTATTGAGACGCTAAGCTGGCCTCCCATTGCTCATGCTTGCGATCTCTTCTCTCCCCTTTTCTTCTCTCATCACTCAGCCTTGTATTTTATAGCCATAAAATCATCATTCGGTTCTACATGAACACATTTGCTTCCAAACTGCTTTTTATTTGTGATATACCAAGTGTTATGACCGCTGATGACATCGCATTCCGAGTTAGTATATCGGCTAGTATATCCGCTTTTCAAGCTCAGATCGCGGAGGAGACGGGTTCGATTCCCGTACTCGGAAAAACCACTTTTAGTGGATTTAGCATACTCTTACACTTGCTTCCCAGATTCATGATAAGTCCTGTAGCGAGAAACAACAGAAAGAAAGCCTCGAGAGAGGGAGAGAGGGACAAGATTATTTAACCTTCCATCTTTTTTGAAACCTCAAATAATAATAAAAAGAGCAAGAGTGGTGTAGTATATATGTGAGACAAGAGCAAAACAAGCGAACGACGAGATCACAGATTTATTTACATTTTGAGTGTAATTTGAAATTGAACAAAGAAATCAAGAACGACCGAATCGGAGGGATTTTTTCTGCTCGAGAAGAGCGTTGATACGAGAGAGAGTTCTGAGTTGTGGAGCAGGAACGGCAGTGGAAGTAGAGGAAGAAGGGGCAGACAAGAATGGGGCAGACGCCCCCGGGGAAGAGTTAGACTTGCTTTTCTTGAGCAAGGTATGTTGGAAGCGGATGTCCCTATTGAGACGGGTTTTATGTATGAGGAGGTGCAGACGCTGAAGCAGACGGAGCGAGTGGGCAAGGGACCTGCTGAGGAACTTGGCGCGTTCGAGGGTGCGTAAGAAGCCCAACTCGTCCTTCATGTGGCCTGATTCGAGAGCAGGGGTATTATTGTCTTCTTCGTCAATGGAAGAGGTGATGAGGGGTAGGTGGAGGGGGTCGATGGAGGAGGGCTGGTTGTGGTGGGTGAAGACGGCCTTCTCGAGGCTCAGGTTCTCGGCCTTGGCAGTCTCCATATCCGCCGGTTGGCCACTCGTGAGTTCCGGGACGATCGCAGCGAGCACAAGGTGCCATGGATGGCGTTTATTATCATCATCAGGGTTTTCGCAAGTACTCCGACTAGTGGCCAAGAGTCTGATCCATTGGAGTTCTCGGACGGTGGACTGGACCAGTCGTTCCGTGAGGTCATATACCGTCTTCAATTGTGTGTCTCGCTTCTTGCGCACAAGACTCGGGACTAGCTCCGCATAGGTCGCCGGCTGCAGTCGCAGATGCGGCACCGACGGCAAGTCCAGCGGCACTTCTGGCAGACGCTCTACATACGCTTCGTTATCCTCTACCGCGACTGTCAAGTAGTGGATCGCGAGATGCGGCCGGTTGGCGTGGACGCAGGCCGAGATGAGATCGTGGTACGTGCGCGTCAGGATCGGGTAGGACCTGTCTCTCGAACCACCACCACGTTGGCGGGACACCACTGGTTGAGGATCAGCGATAGGGGAAGGTGAGGATGATTCGAAGATGGTCCTGTAGCAGCTCTCTGGGTGGGTCAACATGCTCGGGGAGGGATGGAGGGCGGCCTCGTAGATCGAGATCATCTTGTCCAGTCGGCCCTGTTCTTTGAACATCCTGACGACCAAGGCCGTGAGTTTGGGGTCGGACCAACAGGCGCCATTGTCGGGGAAATCGAGATCGAGGGCCCGGCGTTGAGTTAGCCATTCTGTCAGCCTCTTCCGTTCCCCCTGGAGGGCATATATTTCGGCTACCGTCCGTACCGCCCACCTTTCTGTCTTTTGGTCCATGGTGGTACCGGTGAATGATGACGACATTAAGTTTGTGGCGATTAAGTCAGTGAGGCTGATCATGCGTTTCAGATCTCTAGGAGAGAGTGGTAGCAGCTCTTGATTTTGATTTTGGAATTGGTTTTGATGCTGCTGAGTGATGAGATGAGAATCATGGTGGTTGTTGATTGCAGTTCTGATGCAGTGGAGCATGAGAATCTGATTGTGGGGATGATGAGGGGATGATTGGTTGATGAGCTGTTCCCATATGAGTTCAGCGGGTTTGAAGAGACCGGCATGTGCGAGTCGTTTGAGGGCGATTGAGTGGAATCGATTGAGATGATTTTTGGAGAAGAGATGTTTGCGTTCGTGGATGCGGTCAAGTAGGAAGAAGATGCGGTTGTAGAGATAGTAGTTAGATGAGAGTGTGTTATCTAGCTGAATGGCAGGGTTGAAGTCGAGTAGTGAGTCGTAAGTTGTGGTTGGTAGATGAGGGAATAGTTGGTTTGAGTGGAGATGGTTGAGTATTTGGTCGACAGCAGCAGGGGTAAGTTGTTGGTTGATGAGTGATTGTGTGAGTTGGTTGATGTAGTGCTGCTGATGAGTTGAGATAGTGATGCTTCTTGAGTAGTGTTGCTGAACTAGAAGAATGAGTGATTGTTTGTGTTTGAGTTTTGGCTTGTTAAATCTGATTGTGAATGCGAATCGACTGAGGAATGACATTTTGGTAGAAAGAGAGTGAATTATTATTTGACTTGAGACTCAATAAAAAGAGAGCTCTCTTCAAGTAAATAAATAAATAACGCTACGGAAAAAAAAGAAATTTTCATAAAATTCCTTGTTTCTTTTCATTTGTGCAAACATTTCAACAAGCAAATAACAAACACACATACTGGAAAAAAAAAAAAAAAAAAAAAAAAAAAGATTTTAAAAAATGATACAATTATTTCAAAAAAGAAAATCAGTCTCGACGACGACAGAGGGTAAAACAAGAGAGGGGGGAGGAAACAAATGCCAAATCAGCAAGACAGCAGTTCCTGGATTTTACATCGATCTAATGAGAAAGGAGAAACACACATCAACCAGAGCACTCCTTCGTACACAAGATAGAAGAGAGACTCACAAAAACTCTCAATCGATTTGATGGTCTCGATCTCGCTACCTGCGTTCACCAGATTGATCAGAGCAGCATCCTGCTGCTGTTGATTAGTATTACCCGGAACACTAGCCCTGCGACTGCTATTCATAGTGCTAATAATACATCCAGCCCTGCCAACAAAAAAAATAATTAGAAATTAAAAGAGGCCTTTTTCTCTTATTTATTCTTTGCAAGGGAGAGAACAAACCTGTGGATATAATCTTCAACAGCCCTTGGGAGCTCAAAGTTGATGACGATGCTGGGTTGATCCTTGGAGATATCCGCCAGGGTCTTGGACAACACGTCGTACACCACCAACACCTTCATGCTCTTACAGCTGGCCGTCCGACCATCATCGACGGACGACAACGATGACGACGCGGAGGAGTCGCGACCGAATTTATTGCGCAACGAATGGCGCATAGTAGGTCCCATATCTTGGTGCTAAACAGATATATATAAAAATGTTTCAGGAATCAATCAAAAAGTAAAAGAATGCGTTGTAACAGGGGGAGCAGCTACTTACGAGCGCAATCACGTCAATGTGGTGTTGGGCCAAGGCGCGACTAACCACCTCGACGGAGTCGACGCTGTTACAATAAATGATCACGAGCTGACCTTTGCCGGCCCTAAGTGCGGCGACCTCTTTACGGAAGAGCAGCTCAACCAAGGCTTGGAGTTTGCGCTCGCGTGGGATGAGGGAAGAGGAGAGAGGGGATTGGTCTGCACGGTAGTAGAACTGCGAGACGAGTTGTCGTAAGAGTTGGTGCGTGCTGCTACTGTTCCCATTGCCCGTCTGGTTCGTCCATGGGAACGTGCTCAGATGCGGCGTCCGTACCTCCCCGCTAACCAGCTCCATCTTCGACCCCATCCCCGTCATTCCCGAGCCACCACCATCCTTGCACGAGGCCGGATTGTTGGGGTTGTTCTCTTCACGACGTACAATCACCTTGACGCGCAGATTCAATGAGCGGGCGTAGATAAGCACATCCTGCGGTACAGTGCAGCTGAAGATGCATGTTTGACGCCCCATCATCCTGCCTTCATGGCCGGAGCCGCTGGAGGTGTGAGGGGACTGCCGAAGGGCGCCAGAGGACCACTCGTCGGAGGCGCTGATGGAGGGGCAGGGAGAGGAACTACTGCAGGTCTCGGACTCGTGCTTGCCACTGGGGTTCAATATAGCTTGTTGATCGGAAGGGTAAGAGGAAGAACCGAGTCCACCTCCCCCAGGGGAAGAGTTGGGGGGCAAGAAGGTCATCAAGCTGGTGACCATATCCGAGAGGTTGCGGGCAAGCAACTGGTCCATCTCGTCCAAGATGACGCAGATGAAGGAGCTGGCATCGAAGGTATAGCCGCGAAGCCCATTCACCGGATCCAACAGTTTCGACGGCGTGCCGATCAAGATATGCGGTTCCGTATGTTGCGCCATCCCCATGGGTTCTGAGACATCTGGCACGGAAGACGACGGGGAGGCACCGCAATGGACGATCTTCGGCGGATGGGGGAGCAGCGCAGCAATCCCTCGTGCGAGACGATGCGCCTGCGCCGCCTCGTCAAGCGTCGCCGCGATCACCAACACCTTCACGCTAGTATTGATGTGATTCGCACTTTTCAAGGCTCCTCCAGCCGCGGGACCACACTTCATTACCCCGTTGTTATGGCCCTGATATACTGAAGAACCATTCGCCTCGTTCATCACCAGCTGTAGGGCCGGAATAATGTACGATTGGATCCGCTCTTGGATAGGATTCGACTGCGATATCAGGTCTTTCCCTAGAAGCATGTTGGGGATCGATTTCTGTTGCGTCTTGGACGGCGGGCCCACACTGCATCACCAAACACGCAATCATTAGCAAACAAAAATAAAAAAAATTCTTTTCCTTCAGACAAAGGTGTTGTGTGTGTGTGCTCACCCGAATCGCACTATTGCTCGGAGAACATCCCCTCCAATGCCTAATTGCTCCCATTTGCCAGCCAAGGAATTCATGGGTGATGTTCCACAGCCGTTCATTGAAGAGGGGTCGCAGGACTATCAAGAATGAGAAAACATTATAGTTAGATTTTAAGAGAGGGGCGGGGAGAAGCATGTAGTGACAGAGATGCTGCTCACCAAAGGGCTCATGGGCGTGGAGGCAGACACGGGAGTTTGGCAGGTAGGAGAAAATAGCCTGAGTCGCAAATGACCATGAGGACGCGACTGGGACGCGTCGGTGGGATCATTGCTTTGGGGCGGCAATAACGGCGAGGGCAAAGATGGGGTGATAATCAAGTTGCCGGGATGGCGATGGGTAGCGGCTCGTCGGGGAGGAGGAGGCTGCGGGGCGAGAGCCTTATTCCCAGCAGACGCAATCTGAGTCGCGCTGGTA